GTCACAAAGCTCTCACAGGCCCAACCTCTCCTGCGTGGCAAGATGTGTCTGGGTGGCAATGCAGTGTCACCAGGGGACTCAGCAGAAGTCTTGGTGTCAGCCCTCTGGATCAGAGCATTTCCTTTCTGCAAACCATGAGTTGTTCCAGGACTCCTCCCCATCCACTGGTACAAGAAAACAACCCCTGTCCCGGTGTGGATTGGAGGGAAGCAGCTGAGCCATGAATGGGAGAGACCAGACAAATCTCCTCTGGCTTCAGGGAGATCTCTGCTTTGCACTGTAAGGTGGCTCTTCTGCACTATCAGTGTGTTGTTGCTGCTCCTGCTATCTGGGTTTGGGTTTTTTCTAGCCTGTCTGGGGCAGCAGCTTCTTTCCCTCCAGGAATTTTTAGAGAGGACCTTTCCCAAGGCCGTGTGGGGGTGGCTGGTCTCTGCTGGCCTGGCTCCTATCAGGAGTAAAGGTATGGCCCCACAGCAGAGCCCAGCTAAGCCAGCTGCATCACGACTTTCTCAAGGTATTTTTAGCTGCACGTAAACTTCAGGAAAAGCTGTTTTGCAGCCGAGCACAGTGTGGCCTTTGTTCCAGCTCCTGGGAATGGGGAGGGACCGGCTCAGCATGGCTGGCACAACCCTGTCCCCTCACAGGGAGTGTGTGAGCTGCCCAGGGGCACTGCAGCCCACCAGAGACCCCCTGAGCAGTGCTGGACTCCTGCTGTGCCCATGCCCGGGCTGTGGGTGGTTTGGCAAAGCCTCTGGTTCTGGAGCAGCTTGGAAAAGGGCTGCTCTTCCCAGGTGTTGGGGTGGCAGTGGCTCCCCCCATGGTGGGAAACCAGCTCCCCTCTGCCTGCTGCCAACAACTGTCTTTGTTGCAAAGTCAACCTGCAAGTGAAATCAGCACATTAAATGTCCTGGGTGGTTCCTTGAAGCTCTCAGGGCTGGAGGGTCAGGGGCAATGAGTGGCTTCCCCTGGGCTTTGTGTTCCACTTGCTGCTTGGATGCTGGAGTTGCACAGCAGTGGGACAGCTCTGGGTGCTCTGCATGGTGCTGCACCTCCCCTGCTGTGACCTGGGGATCTGCTCAAGGCCCTGTGTGGGACTGACACTGCAGGTGTCCCTCACAGGGAGCTGAGGTGGCTTTTGCTGCTGTTCTCCATGTGAGAAGTACCTGGGTGCTGGCTCATGGTCGGTCTGTGCCCTGCCCATGCCCACAGGGGTGGCTGGGACGAGGGGAATGGTGCATTTTCCCTGTTATCTCAAGATTAGTCAGCATTTGGAAGTGGAAGTTCAGCCTTTAGGAGCAAAGTTGCCAACCAGTTTAAAAGGAGTTGCCACCTCCCTTCCCGCTGTAATAGGGCTTGGCTTGGGATTTTCCAACATTCCACCAGACACAGGGCAGAAGACTGAAGTTGGCTTTGTAATTCCAGGCAACTTGTAAATAAGCCTCTACTGTGTCTGTGCTGGAGGATCTTCTGCCAGGAGAGGCAAGCAGAAGCCCAGTTTTAACTTGCTATTTTGGGGTCCCAGGTGTTTTTGGGGACCAAAGTTTGGGATCCCAGGGGGTCTGGGGACTCTTTTCACTCCCAGTTTGGAGGCCCTAGGGGTGTTTTTGGGGAACGTTTTCACCCCCAATTTGGTGGTACCAGGAGTTTCTGGGCACCCTTTTCATCTCAAATTTGCAGATTCGAGGGGTGTTTGGGAACTCTTCTCATCCCCAGTTTGGGAATCCCAGTTTTTTGGAACCCATTTCACCCCCAGTTTGGCTTACCTGGTTGTTCAAGGATTCTTTTCAACCCCAGTGTTGGATCTCGGTGGGATTTGGGGGACCCTTTTCACCCCTAATTTGGGGATCCCAGGAGTATTTGGGGACCCTTTTCACCCCAATTTAGGGATCCCGACGGGAGGAGCAGATTGGAGTCACATTACTGCTGAATATCTGCCTCTCCTCCTGCTGCAGGGGGAGGCAGGCAGGCCCCAAGCTCACCTGCAGTCTTCACTGCCCTGTGGCCCTGCCAGACACTCTGGATCATGCCCATGCCTTCATGGGAGTCTCCCATCTTGTTTGGGATTATCTGTTGTTCTTCACCTTCCTTTTATTGACCTTTGTCTCTGAAATAGCTCTGGCACTGAACTCCAACAGCCCTTCTGCTTTCCACGCTTCTTGGAATGGCCACTCCAGGATGTTGAGGGTGCCTAAAGATGCTTCTCCCTCTTTGGGGGGAGGAGAGAGTGGACTGGAAATAGCAGGTCTGAAAACAAGAGCTGCTGCTAATTGCCTGTGCTCAGTGGAGAATGGAGCTGGCTGCGCTTCCCTGGCCCCCAGCTCGGGGCAGGGCTGGACTTGGGGCTCTGTGTCCACGAGCTGAACGTTGCTGTGATGCCCCAGCTCCACGTGAGCTGCAGCAGGGCACGACTTCAGTCCGGGGTGGCTGCTCTGGGAGCTCCTCACTGGCTGCAAAGAGCAGGAAGGGCCTTTTCCAGCCCGCGTGGGCAGCTCGTTGCAGGCAGGAGCTGCAGGAGAGCTTTGGAGCTGCTCTGTGGGGTCACAGCCGTTCCCCAGAGACACCAACAGGTCTCTGGGCGCTTGGGCTTGGTCTGGACTATCAGGGTTGCTTAGGCTGAGCTGTGGGCAGTTCTTATCTGGTGACTTACTCAGAGGTTGGTCTCCCTGTGTGGAAACTGCGTCAGTGTCTCCAAGTCACACCGTGGCTCCGACAGCCAAACCTCCTCCTCTGTGAGTGATGCTGGCCCTGTGTGTTCCCAGGAGAGCTGCTCAGGGATGCTGTGTGAGCAACCTGCAGCACCCCTGGCCTCTGCAGGGAGTTAGAAACTGTGAAGTGCTCAAATGTTCACTTCCAGCCCAGCTCTCTGATGGTGAACCTGAGCTGGGCAGGAGTTTGATCAAAATGACTTGTTGGATGGTGCTGCCTGTAATGTCAACGAGGAACTTTCGCTTGGCAGAGTCTGTGAGCTCATCCTAAGGGTCCTGCAAAGGCTGTAAGGTTTCATGCTCTCAGCAGGAGACTTGAAATCACTGCCTGCACCTTCATGTGGGGCTCTGCAGGTCAGACAGCTAGGAATTCTTCAGGTCTTGGTGGAAACTCTGGAGCTCCCACCTCCCTCCCTCCTGCAGTGCAGGAGCAGGACTTGCTCCCTCTCCCTTTCAGACAGAGAGTCCCCTTACTGCAAAGCTGCACAGGAGAGTCAATGCATTCCAATTATCGACTCACTTTCCAAAAATAAGGATAATGGGTGTAAGATCAATGTTGAATGGTGCCCATTAAAAAGCAGAAACCCTCTGAGCAGCATACAAGCCCTGGGTTAGTGGAGTTATTCATATCAGCCAGACTTTATCCTGGAACCAACATGCAAAGGCACCTGCTGCATCTCACCTGGCACCTTTACCTGAGCCGGGCTTGCCAGGAGGGAAAGGAAAGGCTGTCCCACACCTGTCTCCCTCCGTGCCTGCCCAGCTCTCGATCCTCGGGCCTGGCAGAGCCCGGCTTTGTGCTTCCACCTGGTGACGGCAGCGAGTGCTGCACTTTAGCCTACATAGCTCTGGTTTGTCTGGGGGACGGGAGGGGAATCGGCAGGGAGGTGATGGGAGTGAGCGAACCTTGCTCCTCTCTGTGATGACAAAGTGTATAAATCTCTGATTCTCTCCCGACCTGCCTTTGGAGTGACGAGGTGCGTGCTGGGTTATTTATCTCGGCGCTGTGGGTGGGACAGGCACTCACCAGGGTGCCCTCAGGTCCCTGTGGGGTGGCTGAGTGAGCGGAGAAGCAGAGGTCCAGCTTTCCATAACGTGAACGATGCACAGGTCAAGCCTCCTGCCTGGAATGCAGTGTCAGTGGGGAGGAGTTACCCTTCTCTTCCCCACCTCCCCCTTCCCTGTAATCCAGTTAATCCCCTGACAACAGGACTCTCTTGCTGTCAGCTCCGGGAGCCAGCGTTGCTAACAGGCAAGCTGTCTCCTCGTCTTGCATCAACAAAGGAACCAGCCAAATCTGGGGGTTTGGAACCTCCAGCAACGATCCTACAAAGCAGAACAAATGTCTCCATTAAGCAGACATCCAGGTCTCCTCTCAGCACTGCTGCTTTAAAAACAAAACCTCTTGTTTGTACACGGATTTAACAAATGTGGATAAACCTTAGTGCTTTTCTTACTGGAGGCAACTTTGGGAGCTGATTGATGTTACTGGATTGCACTGTGGGTCCAGTTCAGCCTTCACCCTGGCCAGGGAGGGGATCTGGGATCTGAATGGCAGTGCTGGAGGGTGGATGGGGCTGGGGGGTTGGAATCTGTAGCTGTTGTTTTAGCTGTGCACTGGCTCTTGGCTCTGCTCTGTGCCCTGGAGGCCTCTGTTGCAGAGCAATTGTTGAAGAAAACAAGTGCTGAGGTTTTAATGTTGTGGAAATATCTTCCTCGGCTCCTGTGGTCTAAACAGCCAGGCTGAGGGATTGCAGGTCCCTTCATGGGACCAGGGGTGGATGGACCTCTGGTTCCAGCTCCTGAATCCTGTGCAGTCTGTGAGGGGCTTGGTGTGTGGTTGAGGCTGTAGTGGCTTGATGCCCACCAGACCCCTGTACCAGCCTCAGACAGTGCCTGTGCTTTCTCACCTTTCCCCTGACTGCCTGTGAGAGGGAAGGCTTGGGGAAAAATAAACACACAGCAGCACTGCTCTGTGCCCTGTGTTGGTAGTCTGGGGATAACCACTTGCCATGGCACTGGGATCCTTTAAACCCTGCCCCAAAAGACATTATTTACAGGGTATCTCACCATAAACATCTGTCCCAAGGAGAGGTGGGTGGCAGCAGATTCTGCTGTTGCCTCAAGTGCTGCCCATTGGATCTGGAGTTGTCCAGTGGTTGTAGGCAGCTGCCCAGGTTGTGTGTGTGATTCCCTGGGTGGTGGCCTCTCTCTCCAGAAGACTGCTTTCCAGAAGGTCACACATTACAAGGCCTGTCAGCCTGTCCCACTTACCTTTCACTCTTTTTTCCACAGGGGTCCTGACACCTGGAGAGCACAACTTTCCCTTCCAGTTCCTGCTGCCAGGTAAGATGCACAAAAGTGGCTGAAGGCCCTTCCCTTTAAGCCTTGGCTTTTGCAGCCTCTCAAGGTGTGCTGAGAAGGACTTGGGTGACAGAGGCAGGGGGACAGCTGGGCCTGGGGACACGAGAGGAGGGTAAGGTCAGGCTCAGAGAGCTCAGACAGGTGGGAGCCTCTCCAGTGGGGCAAAGCCTGGTGAGAGCTGTGGCTGGTGCCTCTCTGAGTGTGACCCTGAGAGCTCTGGGTGTGAACAGGGGTCCTGCACACAGTGTGCTCAGAGAGAGGATCCCTGCTCCTGCACCTGGGGTTGCAGAGGATCCCTTCTGTAAAGGAGGTTGCAGCAAGGTCTCTGAGTGACCTAAGTGTTCAACCCCAGGTCTTGTTTTGGGGAACCTTGCAGAACTCCTCAGGCAAAGAGGAAAGCTGTTAAAAAGAGGAAAGCTGTTAAAAAGAGGAAAGCTGTTTAAAAGGCACTATACTTCCAGTTCAGAAACTGGCCTCACTCAGCCTTGGGTGCTTCCTTCCCCTTAAGGGTGGGTTTTCACAACCTTCTGATCCTTATCTTTCTCTCTCCACTCCAGCCTCTGCTCCTACATCATTTGAAGGCCCTTTTGGCAAGGTCCTGCATCAGGTGAAAGCTGTGATAGACACACCTCGCTTCTCCAAGGACTACAAATGCAACAAAATCTTCTACGTTCTGTGCCCTCTCAACTTGAACGACATCCCTGACATCGAGGTAGGAATGAGGAGGGGCATGACTGGGAAGTGCCACCACTTCAGCACTTGTCCTGCTGTCTGAGGAGTCACTGTGTGGTTGGACAACTCTCTGACTATGCAAGAGCAGGACAAGGTCTCCTGATCTGACCTGCTTTGCCACCAGCCCCTGCTCCAAATGATTTTTGACTCTTCTCTGTGTTGCTTTGAAAGACTTAGGTGAATTTTCAGCATGCAGAGAGACATGTTGGCCGATAGCTTCAGGTGCTTGGAGAGATCTGGGTCTGGAGAACTTGCTTTGGATGGAAGAGCAACTAATAGGAGCAGGGAAGTGGGGGGCTGGAGCAGTGGGACCTGTTGTGTGTGGCAGTGCCAGGTTGCTGGTTCTTTGCGTCCTCTCAGACCAGATATTTCCACTTGCTTGTTTCAAATCTCTGAGTGTTTGTGACTCTCTTGAGCCAACATCTCTGTCTCTGCTGTCCTGCAGCAGCCCAACACCATGTCCATCACCAAGAAGTTCAACTACAAGCTTGTGAAAAGTGGCAACATCATCCTGACGGCCACGTCAGACCTGAGGGGGTACATCGTGGGACAGGCCATCCAGCTCCGCACCGACATCGAGAACAAATCTGGCCGGGACACCGGCGCTGTGGTTGCCAGTCTGCTCCAGGTGAGCATCCCAAAGGGTGATTCTGTGGCTTGTGCTGGTGTTCCACTCCTCTGTAAAGCTGAGGCAGCTCTCCCCTCTGTGCATCTCTGCTGCCTGTGGCTGGGAGGTGGCAGTGAGGAGGCCAAATCTGGCTAACTCAGTTTCTCTCTACCTTCCTGGGGAAAGAGGAGGTAGAACTTGTCTTGCTTACACCTACTCAGTCTATCATGTAACTATGGGTATTACTGCTCTGTAACATGCCTGTTAGATCTGTGCTTGTGCTTATTTGACAAAGCAGTTAGGTCATTTTGCATCCTGTGCTTATTTGACAAAGCAGTTAGGTGGTTTTGTGTCCTGTGCTTGTTTGACAAAGCAGTTAGGTGGTTTTGTGTCCTGTGCTTATTTGACCAAGGAGTTGGGTGGTTTTGTGTCCTGACTTACATTTGTGGGAGATAGAAGACCATCTGCAGCCTCTCTGCTACCTGTGTGTTCCCCTGTCTGTACAGAAAGTGGCCTACAAATCCAGGCGTTGGATTTACGACCTGAGGACCATCGCGGAGGTGGAAGGCTCGGGAGTGAAAGCCTGGAAACACGCGGAATGGAAGGAGCAGATCCTGGTTCCAGCACTGCCCCAGTCCATCCTGCAGGGCTGCAGCCTCATACACATCGACTACTACATCCAAGTGAGTTCAGCAGTGCTCCTGGGGAGCGTCCCTGGGCTGTGGCTCTGTGCTCCCTCCTGGGCTCAGCTCAGTCTCTGAGCTCTGTAGCTGTGTGGTGTGGGTGGTCCTGACACCAGGTGAACCTTCCCACTGTGAAGTATAATGAGGATGCCACTGTTTTTTCCTTCTCTTCCAGGTTTCCCTCAAGTCCCCAGAGGTTTCTGTCACTCTCCCCATTTACATTGGTAACATTGCTGTGAACAGGGTCCCGCTGAGTCCCTCCCGCTCCATCCAGCACATCCCATCTGCAGTGGTTCCCAGTGCCCCCCCGGAGGAAGAGGAGGCTGCCAGTGGATATCACCCCATGGACAATATCTCCATCCCCACCAAAAGCCATTCCCAGCAGCAGCCCTTCAGCTACGCCCCAGGACTGAGCTTCCAGGAGATCAGGGCGGACTCGGAGCAGGCGGGCTCCCCAAACCACCCCACGCTCTGCCTGTCCACGGGAGCCACTGTCCCCTACTACGCTGAGGGGAACGTGGTGCCCGTGCCCACGGCCAGCTCCCTCATCCTGCCTCCCGAGTACAGCACGTGGGGATACCCCTACGGTGAGCAGCACTGCTGGGCTCTGACAGGGCTGGCACTGGGGGGTACAGGGCTCCTACCACTCATCCCTTTGCTCGATGTGACCTGGGTGGGAATCTGGGAATGCCAGTCTGCCAGAGGCTGGTGTCAGAGGGGGTCATGAGATCCCTCTGCCTGCTTTAGCCTCTGGAGGATTCCCCTTTTCCAGCTGTAAAAGCTGGCTGTCCTTCCCACCTCTGCACCTCTGCCTGCCCCGGGCTCGCCCTGAGAGGATCTCCCTGTTCCTGAATGAACTTTCAGCCTCCCACTGATGGAAAAACTCCCTGGCTTGTGGTGAGGCTGGTGGGAGCAGAGCCAGGAAAGTGATGTCACTGAGATCTTCTGCCTGCCTTGGAGTGGGCCTGCAGCTGCTCTGAGCACACGGGCTGTGGGGGCGGGAGCTGACAGACCATCCGGGGCGGAAAAGCTTGGGGAAATCCTGGCCTGCTGGAGTCCTGGAGCCATGCTGGGGTGGCAGGGGCCTGCACTGTCTGTCAGCACCCAGATCAGCCCATCTGCTGGCACTGGGGTAACGGGACACTCCGTGTGTCACTTCAGCCCTGGGTTGGGGCACAGGGAGCATGGGTCACCTGGAGCGAGGGGGAAGCTTGTGAAAGAAGGGGAGGGATGGAACAGGACTGGGAGGTGGTGACTTCAACCCCTGTAGGTATCAGGGCAGGGATGGGACTGGCTGGCTCAAATCCTGTGTGTGCACCCACAGACCCCACGTATCTCAGGCTGTGGGGTCCTGGCAGGCAGTGCCTGTGTGTGACACGTGTGTGGCAGTGGTTTGCTTCACTCTGCACTGGGTTACACAGACTGGGGCGAAGGGAACCTCCCAAACACTCACCATAACTGCTCTCATTCTTCCTTTCCCCACAGAGGCACCTCCATCCTATGAGCAGAGCTGCAGCAGTGCCAACTCCAGCATCAGCAATGGCAACTAGCCCTCCCCTGCTCCGAGCCCTGCTGGCGCTGCCCACCCTGGTGCCACGGGGCACCTGCCTGTGGCAAAGTCTGGTACAGCACAAGGCGTCTTCTTGTCTCTCTGGCTGCTTGGGGGGGGAACTGGCACATCCCAGCCTGGGCTTTTTTAAGGGAGGGGGTAAAAAAACCAAAAAAAGGGCAGCCAGAGCAGCCTGCATGGGTGTAGGAGAGGTCTGGGAGACTGACCTGTGTCCTGCTGCTGCACTAGGTGCTGGAGAGCTGGCTGTGCCCCCGGGGTGCCCTGGGCAGCAGCCTGTTCCAGTACTGTAGTCAACACTAACTGCTTTACTATCAAAGCACCCACGATGCCTTATCTGAAACGCTCCTGACTTGGCACGTCTGCACTGCAGGGGGAGGCTGGGCTGGGTGGACTTTCTCTTCTCTTTTAGGGGCCATATGCTCTCCAGAAATGGTTTTGACAGCCCTTCCTCCTTGTCCTCATAGGTCCTTAAGGGTAGCAGGAGGTTTCTTGGAGTAAGCAGGTTTGGGAGGTCAGGGACTTTCAGAAAGCCAAAAGCACAAGCCCTCGCTGTACCCGTGTTGTGGGGTGAGTGACTGGCAGCCTTTGGCCCTGTGGCAGTGGGGAGCTCATGGGGGCACTTGCTCATAACCCAAGAGGCCCTGGTGGGCTGTGGGGGGAGAGCCTGGTGTTCCATGGGGTGCCCACCACCCACCTTCTGCCCTTTTCCAGCATGGAAAAGTTCCTGTCAGACACAGCCCATCCTTGCTCCTGGCTCACTCCTGGGATAACAGTGCTGGTCACTCTGCATGTAGGGGAACCACATCCCATGTGCCCTGCAAGGTGCCCTCTCCTCCCAGGCCAGAATGACATGATGATCAAGTTACAAGAGTCTGTCTGGCACTACCTCTGAGCCTGCCCAAGGGCCCTGCCTGCAAAACTCTTCCCTCTGGGACCACCCTCCGTGGGGGCTCAGCCTGGCATCTCTCCAGGAGTGGTTGGCACTGCCCAGGCAGCACACAAGGATGCTGGGCCAGGGCCTGCTGTGGTACTGGTTTGCTGCCTGTCCCCTGAGCCCCAGCAGAGTGTGGGAGTGAGGAACAGGAGCGTGTGGGGACACAAACGGCTGTGCCTCGCTCGCAGCCTCCGCCGGACGCGGCAGCTCGGGGGGAGAAGCTGGTTTTTCTTTTCATTTTTGTGCTTTTATTGCCCCCCTTGTTTAGCTTGCCTAGGATTGCCTGCCCAAGCTGAGGAAACCACACCATTGAGAGCCACGGTCACCCAGCCACGGCTGGAATTGTGGCCTCCAGACCTCTGGCACCTCAGAGCTGGTCCCCACACGGCCCAGGCTGGGCAGGCAATGTCTGACAGCCCTTTAGGAGCATTTACAGCCGCTGCCTCCTCGTCTCAGCCCACCTCTGCACACCCTGCAGGCAGCTGGGGCGGGCCCTGCTTTGCACTCTTTCTTTGCAAATGCTTTTTGTTTTATTTTGGGGGTTTTTTTAAGCGTTGAACTGCTTTAAGGATAGTGTAGCGAAGGTGCCGTTCTGAGCAGTGCTGGCACAACATGCACCGATGCTGAGAGAGTGATTGTCATTGTCCCTGAGTATATATATATACATATATATATATATATATGAGATGAAGTTTTGTTTTTAATGATTGAATTCGTAAATACAAATTTTAACGCTGTATTTAATAAATTATTCTAAGAGAAGTGCTGTGCTTTTTTCATCCATTTCTGATGCTTTTCCATGTGCCTGTTCATGCCAAATCCAGGAAATGCACCTTGCTGGTTTCTTACAAAATAAAGTGAGGTTTTTTTGCTCTCACCAGGAAGGACAGTGACCTTTGCCAAGGCAGCCTGGGGAAAATAAATGTGATGTGTCCTGACTGCAATGCCAGGCTTGTAGTTCCAGATGGCTGCAGGGAGTTTGGCACCATGTGGGCTTGGCTCTGGAGAGAGCAGCCACTGCACTGCTGCTTTCCCATGCCTGTGTCCCAAAGCCAGGGCTGGGCTGGCAGAGAGGAAGGGGAGAGTGGACTCTCCCTTCAGGAGGATGAAGGTGGCACAGCCAAGGTCTGCCTGGAAGGGCTGGAGACCATCAGCCTAAAGAGCCATTTGGAATAAATTTACTAAAAATAGAAGAAGGCTCCTCCCCACACCCACCCTTTGGTGATCCCATGTCTGAAGCACGTAGGTGTTGCCTAAATGTTGTCATCACAGGTAGCCTGGGGTGTGATGTGTGTCTTGGACATGGATCCTTCTTCACTCTCTGCTCAGCTTATGCTTCTGCCCACTTTCCATGGTTTAAGACTCGCCTTTGCCTGGTGGTCCAGCCTGCCATGACCAGCATTCTGGATGTGCAGGGGGCCAAAGGCAGGTACAGCTCTTCCCTGGGGCTCTTCCTCTCACTCAGTTGAACTGTCTTGCCTGGCTCAGCCTGTAGCTCCTTGGCTTTCCTTGCTTTTGGCTGTACCTATCCCTCCTTTCAGGCTTCAACCCAAATCCCTTCCACACCTCTGGAAAAATTCCTGTGAGCTGTCCATGCCTCTGGAGCTGCTGGGTTGGGCTGCAGGCTCCTGACCCAGCCAGGCTCTGGGAAAGGCAGCCAGGGCCAGGCTGCTCCTTGTTCTCCATGCCTGAAGCTGAGCTGCTGATGTTGTGTCCAGCCCATGTTCCTTGGCTGGAAAATGGGAATGGTGTTTGATTACTGTGGCCAGACCCCCAGTCGGTGTCTGTGCTCCTTGTTTCACCTTTCCATTGGGAATGCACCGTCCGTGGTGGAGGCTGTGGAGGGGAGAACCAGGCTGTGCCTCACCCACTCCCATCTCTGCACTGCTCCCATGCACCTCAGCTTGCTTTCCCAAGTTGTATTTGCTACAAATGGCCCTTGGGCACCTCTTGCTGTACTCATGGCAAAGCAAGGAGACTCCACAGAGTCCTCTTTGCAAAGCAAGGAGCAAGTGGGAACCCTTTTCTTCACCAGTGAGGAGTGTCCATCGCCACTGGCGGCTGTGGAGGGAGCAGGAAGGAGTTGGAGCTACACCTCACCCTTTTGGATGCCAGGGCTGCTGCACGGCACAGACCCTGCAGAGAGGGGCCTCTGCCAGCCCTGGGAGGTGGCTCTGGCCAGGGTGCAGCAAGTTTATCACCCCAAGTTTGCCCTGGAGCAGCCTC